GGCTGGGATGAGATGGGGCCTCCAGCCTGAGGAGGGTGAAAAATACCTGCTTCCCCAATCTGAAGACTTTGGGACGATTCATCATGTTAACAAAGGACTGAGCTGATGATGTGCATTACTGCTGATATAAAATCTTTCCATTCCACATGATTTTGTCCTGAACGCTTCGGAGGATTCGTGCAGCACGGAGCAGATGTCTGTCTGGAGAAGGACCCTGGTTTCTACTGGACCACTGAAGCCTGTGCTGTGTTCCCACTGATCCATGACCACAGTTTTCTGTTGCCTAGGGTTGCAGCAGTATCCCAGTTTCACAGTATACTATGGTAGGAAAACCAATGGTTATCATACCATTCACGTTTGCTTTTTTACCAGTATTCAAGAAAAACACAATGCGTGTGCACCTTTCTGCCTGTCAGACTCCACGACGGGTGCCACACGTGCACATGCAGCAGACAAATGGCAGAGACAATGAAGCTGATTTTACCACGCTCCATCCACCAATAAAGAAATTAGAACCAACAGTGCAGGATTAGTTTGGCTATCTCAGAAACGAGCACCATCTCTCCATACAGGTCAGAGCATGTGATAAACCGTGTGGGCAAACGTCAACCATGAAATCTCAACTCTCAACTCAGCTTTATTTATATAGTGCTTTACCACAGCACAGCTGACCAAAGTGCTTAACATACCACACAAATCTAAAATCATCACATAAAAAACTATAAACAATAAAACATACACTATAACACTACAGACAGAGTCTCATTCCTGGCCAAACGCCAATGAGTACAAGTAGGTCTTCAAATAAGACTTAAAAGTAGACAGCGAGGGGGCCTGCCTTATATAAAAAGGCAAAGCATTCCACAGGTTTGGACCTACCACAGCGAAGGCTCTACCCCCCTAGTTTTCTGCCTTGCCCTCGGTGCCTCCAGAAGAAGCTGATCAGCTGATCTAAGGCACCGCAACAGATTATACGGACGCAAAAGTTCACTGTCACTGTCTGTTTAACCTCTGACCTACAACAGGACTCACACTGGTCCCAATCTGACCCCCCGAAGGGCACACACAAGCTTTACTGGCTCACATAGTTGTGTGTGTAAATGATGGTACAGGCAGGATGAGTCTGGCTCCGCTGTCGCACACCTACAACTATTTTGATACAAACAATTATTACTTATAAAATGACAGCATTACATTGTGTTATTATAACTTGACTACAGCGCTACATGTTCAATGGACAAGGTCATGGGGTCAAAGAAAGACATCATTGTGTTATTATAACTTGACTACAGCACTACGTACAATAGGTGGAGGACAGACGAAGGTCAGAGCAGAGGGGGGAGCAGGTGGAGGTGGTGTTGACAGAGCTCATGGTAGTGATGAGAAAAATCCAGTGAAACACATACTTGAGGATTTATCACCAGAAATTCCAGCTGCAACCTTTTGAGAGTCGATGGTCCCACCAAGCAGGACCATTGTCTGGTTTCCTTTACACTGCCCACACAATGCGTCACCATCACTGCTCTGTGTTTCTACACACTGATCTTTAATTCATGTTTCTGGTCCCACCACAACCTCCCTCCTGTAAATCCATCTGCACTGGATGCCAAAGGCCAAGAAGTTATCCCCCAAAAACCGATGTCACAAACAGTGAGACCTCGGCAAACCCAGAAGATCATGTAGTCGGCCTCTGTCAGCATGTCCCCATGTATACACGTGACCCACCCTGAACATAATGTATGTGCACTGAGGAGAGAGACACACACATTGCCAACTCTCACTGCAGGTGTGTGGGGTAGAACCTGCCTCAGATCCTGCCTGAAACTTCTCCAGAACCTAGATTCATTCAGAAATCTGTAGCAGCACCTCTAAAAATGACCAGGTGTTCCCACAGGTGGATAATCTATGCACAGACTGTGAAGCGTCTGTAAACTCTAGAATGCTGCTGAACATGCAACAATATCAGTTTCCAGAAAAACTGGATGTGATTTGTCCTGAGTCCTCCACTGCAGTTAATAACGGGGCCCTGGGTGGATTCTAGCAGTGCAGTGAAAGAGCTGTCCTGCTGCAGATTATGGCCACATAAGCCCTCAGACTGAAACGCAGGCTGACTGGCCCATTAAGCCACAGCTAAGCCAGCAGGGAGCTAAAGATGGGGCAGAAACAAAATGCTGCTGACTTCATCTTTCTAATCTGGAAATGTGTGTTTCTGTGGGTTTCCAGGACTGTACGCTTGCACGAGTCATTTGAATGACTCTGTTCCACATGATATAACAAGACATGTAGGTCAGATCACACACATTAGGATAATTCATCCTTACATGACACGACGTCTCCCAGGGCTGGGGTTTTCTTTTTCTCTGGCTCCGTTAGCAGCAGCTAGTTCAAACAAAGGTTACTAATCCTCTAAGTACGCAGATTATTCTTCTGTGCCTTCATCTCAACTGTCTGAGAAAACCACAACATGCACTAAATCACATTAGTCTGACTGTCACACTTGAACCTATAGTTTCAGTAATAGCTGCGCTGTGAGGTGGAGAGCAACACACAGCACCAAAAACACACAAAGGAATTATGAGGATAGAGGAAAGGAACCAATAATGGGAGGCCTAATAGCAGCAGCTCTGCCACATCTGGCGCACCAGGGGCTATCGAGGTGAATTATTTAGTGTTGTGAAGAAGCCGAGACGTGGTCCTGCATGCAGAAGCACAGGAGGAGCTACAGTGCAGGAAAACAAGCCTGCTCTCTGCTACAGCAACTAAACATGATCCAGCTCTGCTGCATGGGCTTGTCGACAGCTGTGCACCTACAGATGTGGCTTTAAACAGGGAACTGAAACATCATCTTAATGTGTGTGATGACTGGACACTTCAGATAAAGGATCTGAGGAAAGGATGTCTCATCTTGTTAATAATGTTTCCTTGAGTCCTCTCTCCTCATGTGTTTTCTTTGCATGTTTTCCTTTCCTCTTATGTGGGTGGGACTAAAGCTCTTAGAAGATTCCAGGTTCAGCCATTTCTGTGTCAGCTGGGATTGGCTCCAGCCCCCTGCGACCCTATTGAGGAAAAGGTGGTGTAGATAATGGAAGGATGAATGGGAAAGAATGGTGCTTATAAGACCACTTCTCTTCCTGCTCTGACTTTGATCTCTGCTCTCCCTGTTCACCACGTTCCTTCAGTGTGGTCCGTCACACTGGGCCACATCAAACAGCCTAATAATAAATCTGCTAACCTCTCACACCATCAGATAATCTGCTCTGACTCTCAGTCCAGCCCAGGCTCTAATTAGAACCCAGATGGTGAGGACGGGCAGATCTGGTGTAAATTGGCTTCAAAATCCTGTGGCGTGTCCCAGCCTGAGTCTGATAAGAGCACAGCTCAGGGCAGAGGAGATGCAACCGGCAGCCTTTCACTGGGACTCATTAACGTAGGTGGATGCAAATTTTTTAAATCTTCTTTGCACTCAGGGAAGATTAGCTGGCTGTGGGGCTCTCCTTCAGCACTGCACTTATCAGGACACAAGATCTCATGCAGTTAACACAAGTAAAGACCAACCTCATTAGACTCTCGCTATCGACCTTGAAGCTGGCGTCACACTGCACGGTGACACGAGGAGCGCACCTGGGGACTCCCCCCCACGCTCGCCCCTCCGTCCTTGCTCCCCTACTCTTAATCCTCCTTCCTCACTCTCACCCCTCCTCCACCCTCTGAATGCTCCAGTCTCTTAAAGATGTTTCAGGGGAGAGGAGGAGGTGGACTGTACCAAGATGTCTGCTTTTACTTCAATATCAGTCTGTTTATTGATTGATCCGCTGATCTAATCAGGCTGTAAAAGGTCCAGACTGTTTTACACAGTAGTAATGTTACTGACAGACTCTGGGGAAACAGGAATGACTGCACCAACTCCACCAAGGCCTATTCCTAAAATAAAAACACACAGAAGCACATGTTTAATCTGAATCATGAATGAATTATGAAAACTTCATGTGCTTCTGCTGGGATTAGCTATGACCGTGTTGTGACAATATGATAGTTCAACCCAGCCTCCCAGAAATGACAACTGATCTGCAACAGCAAATACGCTGAGGAGGAAACGTGATCATGGCTTTATCACACTCAGAGGCCGTGTGTGTCTCCAGTGAATGAAGCTCTACAGGTGGCTGAGCTGGTGTAGAAAACCCACAACTGTCACACCACAGACCAGAGTCCAGTCCACAGCTGAGTCAGTAGTACGGCATCAGTCGGAGTGCGACGCAGCGTTACTGTCATTATCTGTATCTGGTCATTGCACAAACATTTCAGTATTCACATACACACTGGGAGTGGGTGCAGCTTACTGCACATCTCAGGATGCTGGACACTGTGCATAGTGCTTCACGTTCTGCACCTGGATATGTTGTACTGCTGTTTATTCTCTTCATATGTACAAGCTGCCAACAGAACACACAAAATAATATTTGTAACACAATATACCAACCACGTACCTGAACACATAAAGCCTGAGCTAACGTATCAGCCGAATCTGACTCCAGATGCTTTTCAGATTTGTTCTGGGCACATTACCTGGTCATGTACGGTGTTCTCACTGTGGCCGTTGTGATGCTGTAGTCTGGTCTTTAAGGAGTTCATGGTTTGCTGTGTGATTTTCATGGGCTCTGCTACCATCACCTCGGCCTCACCACAGACTCCTCATTAAAACTGATGGAAACATTTAGTCTGTACATTCACTGGCAAACTGCAAAGTGTCCTCAGGTTCTGTGCCCTCATCTCACGCCCAGCTCACAACAGCACAGCGACTGGTTCCACACTGGGACAGAATGAGGATTCTCCCACTCCCACTGTGTTTTGATGATTTAAGTGCGCTGTAGTTTATTCGTTGACTTTATTTTGTAAGTTTCTGTTTATCTGTGTTTTGCTCTTATTTTGTGGATGGGAAATACTTTTGTAATTTTTGTTTTTAAAGGTGCTATACAAATAAAAACTGCTTTGCTTTGACTCACGTTGAGCTGCAGCGTCTCTGTCCACTGCCCGATCACCCGGTAGCCCGGCCCGCTGACGTTGTTCCACTGGTACTGAAACAGATCATAGCGTCCAGGGGCGTCACCGTTACGGTTGAATGTCACTGACGTACCAGCACTTCCTGTGGAGGACAGTCAGTCAACACATCAGTAACTATCACCCAGACACAGTGCCTCTTAGTCCCTCCCAGTGAGCTGCCATGTAGCTGCTACCTGCAGCTCAGGACACAGGTTTCCAGCCACATACAGTGAGAGCTCACGAGCTACTTGTCATATTGATTGAGTGGGATTAGTCTACTAACAATAAAGTAGGTTAAAGAACTTGCACTGCTCAGCGACTGATTCAAGTTAATGAGGAACTTCAGAAGAAAGAGGTCACTGCTCAGTTTCACAGATACTCACAACCTAATCATTAGCTACTCACTGATTAATACAGGATCTCTGAGGCTGTTCTCTGGTGACACATCCTCCATTCACAGTGGAAAGTAACTACAACCCCAAATCAGAAGAAGTCAGGGCGGTGTGTAAAGTCTAAATTAAAACTGTAAACAGTGATGTGTAAATCATCTGTGTCCTGTCTCACATTGAAAACAACACAGCAGCATGTTATATGATGTGACACATCAACTTTATTCCTAGTTCAGTATAAACACTGACTTCAATCCTGATGCTGCAACACGTTCTAACAAAAGTCAGGACAGTGAAGCGTTCACCACGGTGTGATGCTGCCGTTCCTCTTCAGGACACAACAAGACGTTTAGGGACTGAGGACACCAAGTGATTCAGTGTGTCAGGTGTTATTTTGTCCCCTTCTTCCTGTAAACAAGTCTTAAGGTGTCCAACAGTCCTGGGTCTTTGTTGACATTTACATTTCAAACTGTGCCACACTTTCTCTACTGAGGACGAGTCGGGACTGCAGGCAGGCTGGTCCAGCACTCGGCCCCTTTTCCTCCACAGCCAGGCCTTGGTAATGTGGCAGTGTGAGGTTTACATTGTCTTGTTGAAATCTGCATGTGGGTCCCTGGATGTTGTCTTGAAGGCAGCAGATGTTGCCCCAACATCTCTCTGTGTTTCTTAGCATTAGTGGAGCCATCACAGAAGAGGAAGTGACCTTTGTCCAGGGCACCGACACAACCCCAGACCATGACAGACCCTGGCTTTTGGACTTGTTGCTGCTAACAGTCTGGATGGTCCTGAGCACACGGTGTCCATTCCTTCCATAAAGGGATCGGAGAGCTCAGTAAAAGTGATGAGGTGTCATTTTGAATTGGCAAAGCAAAATAAGAATCAAAAATAAACCAATTATCTCTAAAAACCACTGGATTAGTTGGGTTTAGTGTCACATGGCTGAAAACATGAGATGCGTAGTTCTCACCAGATACACTGCTGCAGATTAAACTGCCCACAGCACATAAAGCAGTTAAAATGACAGCAACAACAACTACAGCGGTAATCGATGTACCCATTACTGCAGCAGTAATATTCTTCCAGAACCTCATAATACACCAACAGGGCCATGTTTCTGCAGGTGTAGTACTTTTACTGTGTATACTTGCATGCAGGTGAATGCTTGTTCCAGCACTGGTGCAAAGTCTTATTAATTTAACCTGACCATTCCAGCCTATAGTAGAGCAGGAGGCCCAGGACACTGCCTCCCTGCCCTCTGCGGCACTGGGGGGGACCCCTTGAAGACGCTACGCTAAAAAAATTCATGAAGCCTCTTGGATGAGAGGTGAAATGTCAAGACCAGTAGTGAGGAGAACAGACATGGTGAAAAACGAGTGAGAGCCATGAAGGCCTGATGGACAGAGGGCACAGAGGTCAGCTCAGGCCAGACTGTCCTGGCAGGACTCTGTCGCTTACTGCAGCTCCTTGATTAATATTTGTCTTTCTCTTCTTCAAGTTGGAGCCTCCTGCATAGCTACACATGGAACTGTTTCACAGCTTTTCCCCTGAATATGTGGCCATGCTTCCCATTCATCACTGTCACACTTGTGTTTTCAAAGCTCTTCCTTCTTCTAATGAGCTCTTTCTTTTTACATGTTAATGTGACACGAAGCCACAGTCTGTCTAATGATTTGTGCTAAGAAATCAGCAGACATGCATCTCGTTTCTGTGTGCATGCTGCATTATTCATCCACGCGAGTGAGTCTGTGGCTCGATGCTAGCGTGTTTGCTGGGATGACATGTCAGCCAAATGCACTTAGCATTTTCATCCTGGGCTGACTGAGAAGGCTGCTTTAACACACCACCAGATAATATGGGAATGAACTGTGTCTGTGAGCAGAGACTTCACCTGGGCTGATCCTGTTGAGCTGGTTTTAATTAATACACTAACTGTCTCAGCCAGGAGGAACACTCACATGCAGTATTTCAAGCTTCTGCCATTTCCACTGAAGAGAAACAGGTGGAAACACAGTTAGTGTCTTTGCTAAAGACACTTTGAGTTGAGGCTAAAACCAGCAACCCCTTACTTACAGGGCCTCAACTGTCTCACAAAAACACACGGACAGAGACTTGGCCAGCACCGCTGTGACACCGGATGCTACCGGAAGTCTTTCCTGCCAACTGCCTTAACACTGTACGGAGAATCTCCTGTGTGCTGGCAGAGGGATCTCCTCGTACGAACACATCCCGCTGTGCTGCTGGCCACGTCTTGTTTCTCCTGGAGCAGGGACACAACAGTGGAAGCTAACTAGCCTGGCATGCTAACGGCAGGAACTTCTGAAGAACAGATAAACACAATTAAACTCATTTCTTACACCTTTACTCTTTGCTCTCCAAACTATTTCCATACGGGGACTCGTTCGTGTGTGAGCTCTACTGACCTGCTGTGCACAAAGTTGAGGGAAATACCACTTTTTTATTTCACAGAAAGCTATAAAAATCCCAGAATTCTCAGAGATTGTAGGTACACATGCACACTGTAGTCACATAGTCATTTTACTAGCTGCTAAAGAAACCTGACTAAATGTCTCCATCCACATAAAATATTCAAATCCTCAAATCTGCTCCAGGACCACAGCCCAATTATCTTCCAAGAAGTGGAGCCTGTCTTTGGATTCACAGGTTTGAATATGAAAGAAGCAAACTGGTTCAGGTGTCAGTCTGAGCCCACTTGCCCAGCGCAGGCTGTTGAGGAGGTGAGGCACACCCTGCTCTCAGTCTGTGCTCACAGAGGCACATCCTTCACTACGAATACGACTCAGATTTCCACAATGCAGAGCGACATTCATCCCAGCATCCATCAGGAACTTAAACTGCTGCAGTCAAACTCAGTCAGAGTGGACAACTACAGGGTCACAGGGAACATGGCGGCATGGCCCACAGTGCAGTACAGGGCATATGTGTTTATTTATTTATTTATTCCTCCTGTGGCCCAGTAGGCTCTCAAAGTTGTACTGGTTTTATCACTGTGACTATTCTACTGTGTGTACAGGGGTGGATTTAGTGATAAGGGGGCCCCCAGGCAAACCCAACCTTGGGGGCCCCCCTTTGCTCTATTTTCACTGATTTCTCATTAGAATGTTATTGGTACTAGGGACAATATTTAAATGCAAAGACACAAGCAAAAGCAAAAATAAGTAAAAAGCAAACCTTCTTTTATTCAGTAGTCACAAACAGCCATAAACCTAAAGTGGCGATGAATGGATGGTACTTTTTAGACAAATGCTTATTGCCATTAAGGGAATTCAAAGCAGGTGAAGCAGGCTACTAGACAATAGTTACATGCTACATATTTTTTGTTGTTTCCAGGCTCATGGTCATAATTTTTGTTGACAATAAATCATGGTGTCACACAGTCACTGTCAAAATGGATCACACACCAAAGAAGAAGAAGAAGCCTTGAAGTCACTCCTTTAGCTATTAGGAAACACCGGCTTTCTCTGCACATAGGACAAAGTCTGAACATCAAACTTTTTTGCACATTTCAGCACCAACTGGTCCATAAACTTTACAGAGGGCACAGTTTATGTGGACTTAGCGCTCACAGGCGTCTCCAAAATCACAACTCACCTTATGGGGACTTTTTACTTAAAATGCCCACAAAAAACAACTTGGCATGTGAGAAAGGCGAGTGTGTAACAATTAGATTAATGAAGATCAGTGTCTCAGTGTTAAGAGGAGCTGCAGTCTTGTCTGTCGCTTGCAGCTACTTGTACTGTAGGTGTCTTTCCTCTGAGTTTATTAAATAACTGTCACTGTCACACAGCAGCAGGATGGATATCCTCTCTAAAGAGAAAGCTGTTGTGCGCATTTACGCATGTGGCACAACAGTGGTAACATCGTTATAGATAATCACTAATTAACCCCAGCACAAAAACGGGATTGGGCAGGATTAGCAATGGCAAACATCATTCTATACGTTTTCACTTTACTGTCAGGGAACATTTACTCTGGAAATACTGTTCTGACATGGAAGGTTTATTACTGTGTTTTCAGTTTTGTTGTTTCAGGTCACAGTAATCGCAGTAGCGACATTAAGGTGCGCGTGGACGTGTTCCCATATGGAGCAGGGATTTACCTTGAGAACTGCTAACTGCTTTTCTCTCTGGATCTTCCAAATGTAGTTTTCTTCAGTTTCTTCCATCTTCCTCTTTGAAATCCCACTGGGATAACTGCTTTCATGTTTGTTTCGGATGTTCGGATTCTTGGTGCGTTGTCGAGTCAAAGTTTTGGCACCAGTGTGTTTACATTTGGTGCGCAGTCGCAGTGGCACGTCTTGGAATGGTCCATTTACCTGTAAAATGTGGGGCGATGATAAATGAGGTGTTGGGAGTGCATTGGGCTATGTGCGTCTCTGAATAAGGAAGTAATTTGGCATGTATTGTTTACAATGTAACAGACTGTTTAGTGTCACGTCTCCCCTGTGTGGATGTGCTGGTGCTTTGTTTATGTGTGTAGTATGCCTTATGTCCTTTGGGGCTTGCCATACTTTGGCAAAAAGGGGACATGGGGAGAGAGAGATGGGAGTGTCAGTTTTGGAGTGAGGAGTGTGAATAAAGTAACGAGAACTTCAGACCTGAAGCTTTGTCGTTTTATTATTTTATAAACATGTCTAGTTGAGCCCACGTAAATACTCGGCTACATTGGTGGCAGCGGTTTGTTTTTTTTGTTTGTT